GAAGTCTTACACAAGCACTTGTTCAAGGAGGTGCTTGTTTACCTTGATGATATATTGCTGTACTCCCCCGACCTGCCTACCCACGTGAAATTGGTACGAGAGGTCTTAACCACGTTGCACAAGCACAAACTGTTTGCCAAGCTGTCCAAATGTGAATTTCACAAAACGGAACTTGACTTCTTGGGGTATCGCATCTCTGACCGAGGCCTGAGCATGGACCCGGGGAAGGTAAAGGATGTGGTGGGTTGGGAGGTATCCTGAACCAGAAGACAGCTCCAATCCTTCCTCCGTTTTGCGAACTTCTACAGAACCTTTTTACCCAACTTTGCCCAGGTCAGCTTACCCCTCACAGATCTCCTACAAACTAAGGGGCAGGGCCCAGAGGCAACTAACCCAGGCGCCACGCTCCCATGGAGCAATGAGTGCCACGACGTGTTCGACCGCCTAAAGGCCTTATTCACCTCAGAACTGGTGCTCGCCCACCCCGATGAAACAAAAAAGTTTATTGTACAAACTGATGCATCTGACGTTGCTATGGGAGGGGCAATATTACAAGAGGGGAGGATGGTGTGTTGCACCCCTTAGCTTACGTCTCCAAAAAATTCAACGACACCGAACATAACTGGTCAGTTTGGGAAAAGGAGGCGGGGGTGATAAAGCTTGCCCTATCCACTTGGAGGCATTGGCTGGAGGGGGCGAGGGTCCCGTTTGAGGTATGGACAGACCACAAGAACCTGGAGACACTCAAAACGCCCCGGTGTCTCAACGCCAAACAGCTCCGATGGGCTGATTTCTTTTCCAAGTTTCAATTCACTTTGCACCATTTCCCAGGGTCGGCTAACTTGTTGGCCGATGCCCTGTCCCGCCTTCCCCAACACGAGAGCCAACGGAAGGTTGTCCTGGACTCAATGTTCATGCCCTCTCAGTTGGGCGGAGCGGTGACGATGCGCAAGTAGCTTGCTTGGCTGCTCCACCCCCTGCGCCGCCTTCAAAGGGACCTACAGGGGCGGGCGAGGGGGAAAATGACTCTTGGCACAGTAAATTCACTTCCACTTTTTCGAAGGAGGATAAAGCAGTTATGGAAGCGGAGGGGGACTTTGAACTAAGGGGAAATGGCTGTTGGTACCGGGGCCATAAGATGTTCCTTCCTCTCTCCCTCAGGGGGGAGGTGTTACAGGCAGTACATGGCTCCAAACTATCAGGACATTCGGGGTTTGTTAAAGCCCTGCAACTGCTTCAAAGGCAGTTTTGGTGGCCCCATATGCGCAAGGACCTATCTTCGTTTGTTCAATCATGCCAAGTTTGCGCCATGAGTATACCTCGGCCAGGGAAACCCCCTGGTCTATTGCATCCCCTTCTGACCCCGAGTCGACCCTGAGAAGTCATTTCAATGGATTTTATAACTGACTTACCACCCAGCAAATCTATGACTGTAATTTGGGTGGTGGTGGATCTCTTTTCCAAACAAGCACACTTCGTCCCATTCACTTCATTACCTACTGCCAAAGCACTTGCAAAAGCTTTCCTCATGCACATGGTGAGACTACATATGCTACCTTCTAAAGTGGTATCCGACAGGGGAACCCAATTCGTCTCCCGGTTTTGGGGTGAGCTGATGAAACTGATGGGGGTCGAATGTGGACTCAGTAGTGCTTACCATCCAGAGTCTGGCAGTCAAACAGAAAAAGTTAAATCTTGGAACAATATTTGTGTGGTTTTGCCAACTATCAACAAGACAATTGGCATGACTTGTTGCCCCTTGCAGAATTCTGTTATAATAATACTTGTCGTTCTTCCATGGGAATGTCCCCGTTTAAGGCGCTATATGGTTATGACAGCCCACCTGTCCCATTCCTGGAAGGGGATACGGATATGGGGGCGGGGGACGCTGCTCAATGGTGTAAACAATTGCGGGACTCTTGGCCTCTCCTATGCAAGATGTTGACGGTGGCCAAAGAAGCATATAAGGCGCAGGCTGATAAGAGAAGGATGGAGGGTTGGGCTCTACAGCCTGGGGACTCCGTGTATGTTTCCACCAAAAATATCAACATGTTGCAACCTAGTCGGAGGTTGGGCTGGAAATACATTGGCCCATTTAAAGTTAAAAGGATCATCAATGATGTTGCAGTGGAAGTGGACTTGCTGAAAAATTTGAGAAAATTGCATTCTGTTTTCATTTCAGCCTCCTGAAAAGAGATACGGGTTCCTGTCCCTGGCATCCAGTGAAACTGGTGCCCCCTCCCATCATGATTGAGGGCGAAGAGCATTACGAAATATCACGAATTTTGGACTCTAAGATCAAACAGGGAAAATTACTGTATTTGGTAGAATGGGTGGATTTCGGACCCCAGCACCTCGAATGGGTGGAAGTAGGGGATATTCGGGCCCCTGACCTGTTGTGGCAGTTCTATCAGGAGTTCCCGGACAAACCGGGAAATCTCCCGGAATGACCGGGAGGCCTCCCGGAATGGTCGAGAGAGGCTGATTTTTGAGAGGGCAGTATGTCAGCTATGCTGCCATGGGGGTTGGGGAGTTCATTCTGTGTCTTGGTAATTGCTATTGCATTCCTATCTCTGCTGTTCTGCCTGTGCTGAAATGCTTATCGCTACAGATGTGCAGGAGGAGGATGTATTGTCTGGAAGTCTCCTATGAATCGCGAGAGACTACTGCTTCCCAGCTTCCCAGCTTTCGCGCGTGTGGCTGTCAGGTGGAGTGAGCTTACTGCCGCATCCCTTACAACGTTTGAAAAAGCCCCACTTCTTCTCCATAAAATAAACGAGATGGAGAAGAAAAAGAGGTGGGGAGAGCCCAAAGGCCAAACTGAGGTAAAACGAAAAACTTCCCCCTCAACTAAACAAAGTCTTTTTTAAAAAAAGAAAATAGCAAATAAACAAAGGTAAAAGTTGAAAGTAAAAGAAAAACTGAAGAGAAATCCTAAGAGCCTCTGAGGAAAATAGCTACCAATCTGACCGACGAAAGGAAGGTGCTTCTTGTGCGGCGGAAAGGAACTGGCGGGATGTCCGCACCCACCACTCTGGGCATGCTCGGTCGCATGCCTGAGGTCTGGGCACAAAAATCCGATCGATCCAGCGCAGGTGCACTGTATCCCATGGGTTTGAAGCACAGAGGCCACGTCGAAGATCAGGGCAGAGAGGCCGAGGCCTTCCCCTGATGTTGCCTCCTGGCTCTGGGATTCAGAGATTTAGTGCCTCTGAATATGGAGGTTCCCCTCGGCCACCAGGGCTAGTAGCCACTGATAGATGTGTTCTCCATGAATCTATCCAGTCCCCTGGTAAAGCAGTTTATTCCTGTGGCCTTCACTACACCCTCTGGGAGCAAACTCCACGTTTTAGTCACTCTCTATGTAAGTAGTATTTCCGTGGCGGAGTGGGGACTCGAACCCAGGGGCCCTTGAGCCTAGCCTGGCACTAGAGCTGCTACCCTATGCTGGCGCCGAGGGGCCACTGTGTCGTCTCATCCTAAAACGGACTGGCATTTGGGTCCAGGAAGAGAGGTGTTGCCCTCATGTGGAGGGCCGAGGCTAGCCTGATCTCGGAAGCTGAGCCCTGGTCAGTCCAGGGAAATCCAAGGCCGCCATGCTGAGCCAGGCATTGGCAAACTACCTCCAATCGTACGTTGCCTTGAAAGCCCCGTGAGGGGTTGCCAGAAGTCAACTGTGACGTTGACAGCCCTGTACACGTGGGGAGGGGCTTGGTTTCTTTCCGTGGGCCTCTGTGGGCTACTACGGCCAGGGTTTGGGCAATGTCATTTAACTGGGTGCTGGAAAGGCTTAGGGAGGTAGCTGAGGCCAGGTTGCCCCCTGGTGTGCTCCTGCAACTCAGACCGATCCACCACCAGTATCTCTTAGAACTCTGTGCGGCAACAGAAGTGTCCCTAGAGCAATGCTCCCTCTAAGCGGTGGAGTCTTGTGAGCAAAAACTCTACTTTGTGAGCTACTGGCATTAAAGTTGTGAGTGAGCGATTTGGCTACTGTGTGAATTAGTTTGCTCTGGAGCCATCCCTCCTGAGCTGAGACGAAAATGTGTGAGCCGGAGGATAGAAAACTGTGAGCTGGCCCACACTAACTCAGCTTAGAGGGAACACTGCCATAGAGTCCCGCCTGTCCCCATTTTCCTTGCGGGGAGGGAGGGGAGTTCTGAGAGGGGGTACAAGTTCGGTGAGCAAGGGGCTGTGTGTTCCATTTGTTCTCTGCATCCCATAGTTCACCTTGCAGAGCTCCCCAGCAACGCTTCCTCTCAGCTGTGGAGTCTTGTGAGCAAAAACTCTGCTTTGTGAGTGAGCGATTTGGCTACTGCATGAATGAGTTCGCTCTGGAGCCACCCTTCCTGAGCTAGGACAAAAGACGTGTGAACCGGAGGCTAAAAACCTGTTAGCTAGCTCACACTCACTCAGCGTAGAGGGAACCCTGGTCCCCAGTAGGTGATTGAGTGTGCATAGAGTAAAGACCTCACAGTTTAGATTCTGGTGGGGTAGCCATGTTGGCCTGAAGCAAGAGAACAAAGTTTGAGTCCGGTGGCATCTCTTAAGACTAACAGAGTTTAATTCTTGGTAGGAGAAGGAGAAGAGATTGGATTTCTACCCCGCCCTTCACTACCCGAAGGAGTCTCAGAGCGGCTGGCAATCGCCTTTCCCTTCCCCTCCTCACAGCAGAACCCCTGCAAGGTATGCGGGGCTGAGAGCGCTCTTTTGAGCACTGCTCCTGAGAGAACTTATGACTGACCCAAGGTCACACCACACAGACACACACAGAGGCACACAGAGCTCTTGGACAGCGGCCTTCAGGCTAAGGCGAGGGACTCTACCTTGCAGTTCAGTTCAAACTCTGCATTGGATTTTGGCCAGAAAATGAAACAAAATGCTGCGGACTGTATTTCCCTAAATATTATGTAGAAAGACACTTGAGCTGCAGCTGTAGAATAGGAAATGGTTTTTTATTTCCTCCAACAGAGGGAGACGGCAGATCTTCTGGCCTCCGAATGAGAAAGGGCACGCTGCTCTAAGAGGCAGGCCCTTCTCCGGTCTCCACTCTGCTTTTCCACAGGCATTCGGGCGGCTCTTCTGGGTAAAGCCACGTGGCCGAGGGGAGGGGGGCGTGACGGGACCCAGAAGGCCTCTAGGAGGAGGGCTTTCCTCTTCAGTGCTGCTTTGACAGCCCCCCCCCCATCCAACGGAAGACAGCTTCAACCAGAACAGCGATCCTCCTCGCACCTCTTCGTTCTTCACTCGCTCTTCTGTTTCATCTCACCTGTGGCGTAAAAACATTGATATGCCAGCCATTGTGCCAGAAAAGGTCCCAAACAGTTTGGCACCTGAGGGACAAAAACCTCAAAGGTCCACCCCCACCCTGTCCCGGGTTTGCCAAAGATTAGAAACGAAGGAACTAATTGGCAATTAGCTGCCCTTATTTGATCCTCCAATATCTGCCCTCTGGTGCACGATTCAGAAACTTTTCACCTCTGGTTGCAAAAGCAAAAAGGGGGAATTGTTTTAAGGGGCACAATCATAAGGACATAAGAGAAGCCAATGTTGGATCAGGCCGATGGCCCACCTAGTCCAACACTCTGGGTCACACAGTGGCCAAAAATACCAGGGGCCCTCAGGAGGTCCAGCAGTGAGGACACTAGAAGCCCTCCCACTGTGCCCCCCCCCAAGCACTAAGAAGACAGAGCAGCACATGCCCCAGCCCGAGAGTCCCTATCTCTACCTTGTGGCTAATAGCCACCGATGGACCTCTGCTCCATATGCTTATCTAATTCCCTCTTGAAGCTGTCCATGCTTGTAGCTGCCACCCCCTCCTCAGGGTGGACCACCTTCAGTCACTGAAGGAGACCCAGGAGGACCTTCAGTCACTGGAGGAGACCAGTGGAATTGGACCAGCTTCAAAGGAAATAAACGCAAACGTCTGATAGCAATCCTCTGCTGTCTCTGCTCAGTTCTAGATTCTGGTAGTTCTAAAGAGCAATTTACATAACTTTTTTTTTTTTTTAAACACAGCAAAGTGAAACTAAGGCAACTTTTTTTGTAATTTCGACGTGGAGGCCTGCTCTTGCAAATGGCTTTCACACCGGGCTTTTTTTCCCTGGGGGAACACGCCGGAAAGGAGTTCCAGAACCTCTTCAACAAAATTCTTTTTAAAATGTTTAAAAGTTCATGAGTTTTCGGTATACAGATTGAAGACTTCATTTCCCTCTTGAGAATTCCGGCACCTCTCAAAAAAAAAAAGAAAAAAGGAAAGACAGAAGAAAGGCCCTGCTTTCCCACATGTCACGGAGGGCACCTTGCCGTGCTCTGGCGGGGCTTGCGGGGGAGGGCTGAATGGTCAAGGGTGGTGGGAATGCATGGCTGTCCTTCAGGGCACAGTGGCCCCAGCATGCCTCTTTTTCTAAAGGTTCTGGTCCATCCTCGGGTGGGAGAGTGTCCTCAGGACACAGGGCCACACCAGAGCTTTGCGGAGTGAGGTCCACAGGAGGGAAAGTAAACTGGAGAGAAGGAACTGGAGCAAAGAACACAGCTGGGACATCCTGCAAGGGACAACCGGTGCTCATACTCTACCTGTACTGCAGGGGGCGCTGTACTCAGCCACGGCAAACTCATCTGGAGGGGGGAAAAACCAGAAATGACAGTCATGGCAGGGGAGTGGGGAATTGCAAACGGCAGTCTCCAACTTTCTGCACAGATGTCAGTTCTATATTGTTGATAAGGATTTGTTTGCGAACATTTACATACATTTATGTTTGCGAGCTTTAACTGTTTGTAAACCACTTGGAGAGGTCTTGAGAAGCAAGAGAACAGATTTTAAAAAAAAATACACCCAACGAGGGCGCAAGACTGGAGTCTCTTTCTCACCTGTTTCGTAGTAATCGTAGACTTTCACCAGGGCAGGCTTCAGGTCCTGAACCGGCACGTCCTGCTCCACCGTGAAGGAGTAGCTCTGGGTCACGTTGTTCACCTAGGGAAGCCGTCAGGCTGACTTTAGGCCTGGTCCTGCCAACAGGGACCTGTCCCCCCCCCAGCAAGCCCTCCCAAGAGCACACCTGGTCAGGTACTGCTTCGAGTCCCAAGGGAATTCAGCCTGTGGCGAGAGACTGGGCAGTTCCCTCGCAGAGACTCCCAGGGAGCCACTGCCTGGCTTCAGAGGGGGATGGAGGATAACAGCATGGCTTTCTGCTCCTCAGTGGGCTGTGGAAGTTCGCATTCTTCCCCTAAAGTGGGCCTTCCCGTACACCTGCGTCAATTCTAGCATCCTTCTCCTCCCGGTGCTCTAACAAGGGCATGCAGTGAAGCACCCTACCCACATGAATCCCCTACCCCTAGCCTGTAGAGACCGGCTAAGCCTACTCCCGGGCAAGCACCCCTGTCGCTCTTAGGCCAAGAGGGCATCGCTTGCAGCATCTTTCCAGTCCCTCCTCCCAGGAGTGTTGAACTGCCAACGCAGGACAAAGCAGATGGAACTTGGACTCCTCCCTCCCACCGCAGGAAATCTGGAGTGAGGAAGGCAGACAAGGAGAATTCTCTCTCCATCCACCTTCCACGTACGGTGAGAGAAAAGGGAGAGTGGCGGGTTTTCCTTTCAGGGTTATGAAGACACCAAGAGAGTCCTACAGTGACAAGGCTTACATGGCAATGAGAGAAGAAGAAGAGGAGGAGGGGTTTATACCCTGTCCTTCACTACCCGAAGGAGTCTCAGAGCGGCTTACAATCTCCTTTCCCTTCCCCTCCCCACAACAGACACCCGGTGAGGCAGGTGGGGCTGAGAGAGCTCTTTCGAGGACTGCCCTTGAGAGAACAGCTCTGAGAGAACTTGTGACTGACCCAAGGTCACACCGGCAGCTGCATGTGGAGGCATGGGGAATCAAACCTGGTTCTCCCAGATTAGTGCCCATGCTCCTAACTGTCATGCCCAGTGGACCCTGATCCCGGGGATTCTGCACCTTCCTCCTCCAAGGAAGAGCTCCCAGCACCCCTGGACGTAAGTTTTGCAGAGGATAAACACTGGCTGCCAGAAGAGTTCACACCTGGAGCCGCTCCTGCTGAGCGGAGCACCAGCTCCACACCCCCTGATTCCCCTCCACCTGTAGCTCGTTTAAGAGACCAAAGGAGACGGGATTTGACAACCCGGCGCAGGGAAGCACGCATGTGTGGGAGGCGTCCTCTGAGTCCAGAGTATTAACTGGAGCCAGGACTCTGTAATCAGCCGGCAATTAGGAACACAGGGAACGGGCGTTTAAGGAAGCCCTCTTCACTACCTACCTCGTGCTGGCAACTGATCACATGATTGAATCGCTGAACCTGGGACCTTGCATCTTGTTTCCTGACTTTCTGCTTGACTCCCTCGGCTTTTTGACTCCGGACTGTGTGACATCGTTCTTCTGGCTCCCTGACCTTGGAATGTGTAACCTGACTCTGAACAATGGCTTTCGGCTTTACAACTCGGACTGCCAATCTCTGGTAAACCTTAGACTGTGCAAGTGACCTGATATTTCGGATTACGTTTTTGTTTCTCTGCCTATCTGGTGCTCTGATCTCAGCCTGTGTTTTTGGATGCTCTGTGCCTTGCCTAGCCCGCCCCGCCAGGGCAATCGTGACACTAACCGTTACACCAAACATTACACAAGATATGTACAACATGTTGCTTTTCCACCAATGCCGTTTCCAATCTCCAGGGGGTTGGGAAGAGGAGAACCCGCCTCCCCTCCCTGTGGCCAATGGCGTGAGTCTCTCTGCCGCTCCCTCAGCCCCCACTCACCTGTTCCAAATACAGCAGGACGTGGTTGGTGCTCACTTCTGTCCGCTTGACCTGATTTTGCGTTTCTAGCTGGGGGTGGGGGGGAGAAATGGAGAGGGCTGCGTTATTACGAGGCACTCCTCCGAGGCCGCTGGCCCCTCAGTCACCTGAAACCTCATGGGACGGAAAAGTGTCCTTCGAGGTGAGGGAAGGAGGAGCTTTGCAAATGAACTGGGAGGGCGGTGGATGCTACTTGTTGCCAGGGCATGTGGTGAGGGCCAGTTGCTTAGCTGGTTTTAAAAAAAAACCCCAACAGACAAATTCCTAGAGGGATGATTTCCCCCGTGATGGTCCCACTACATGGATCGAAAAACCTACATGGAACGGAGGAGCAGGATGCACTCAGAAACCGAGGCAAGATACGGGAGCAGAAAGGGCCATAGTTAAGTGGACACCAGATCTTGGATGTAGGGCTGCTGGACGCCAGAGGGCGTGCCCATTGTTTTCCAGCTCTGCTTGCAGGTAGTGGGCGATGTGGAAGGCCTCAGCTGGAGAGCCACTCGCTGCCCGTCTGAGTGGGCGACACTGACTGTGGGGGAGAGCAAGGGTCTGAAGCAGTATCAGGCAGCTGACCTGATGGGAACTATCCCACCGGCTGTGGCTGCCAACCGGATTCTGCGCCGGATGGACTTCTGGTCTGATCCGGGAAGCAGGGAGGTTCCTATGCCCCCATCCCCAGGAGAGAGGGGGCCTGAGGACAGGCACAGGGGGCTGCTCACCTTTCTCACGGATGATTTCACTGGAATGAATCCTGACAGCATCTTCACATCAACGATGGCCATGTTAGAGGCTGGGCGCTTGCCGGTGTAGCTGAGGGACAAAGAGGGAAAGAAGACATTTCACATCCCTGGACTCAAAATCCAGTGGCCTCCACCCCTGCCTGACCACCCAGCCCTGTTTGCGACACACAAAAGGGGGGGGGGGGGCTTCCCAGTCCCTGCTTGAAGATGAGGTTTGTGGAGGTGTCGCTATGGGCAAATCACTGTCAACTAAACTCTACTAGTGGACTAGTTGCGTTATCCAGGATTGCTTGAAATAACCAGGGAAAGGACACAAGATGCGCAGCATTTGGGAGCACCTCCAAAGCTCACTGAGGAGGATTTCCTGTTGGACAGACAACAGTTGTGCTAAGAGCTCTCTGTCTCTAGGAACAGTCTTTGGAGGGCTGATGTCAAGACAACGGCTTTCTCTGGGGAGATATGGAGAAGGGCCTGCCTTCCTCTGAGGGGGGTCCCCGGCCCTTTTGAGCCTGCAAGCGCCTTTCGAGCTCTGACACAGAGTGGTGGGCCCAACCACAACATGGCTGCAGCTGGCGGTGGGGGGGGGCTGCCGCAGAAGGCGGAGCCAAGCAGAAAATGTCAGGGCCCCAGGCTGTGCGTGACTCTTAACAGAAGCTCTTCAACACTTCAGCCAGAAGCTCTGCTTAACAAGATGCCTTTCAAAAGGAACATATTGTTTAAAAACATTTTCTTACACAGAGTAAACGGAGAAAAGATCCCCTTTGCTGTGGTGGTGGCAACAGCTGCTGCTGCTGAAGCACTTTTTAAAGAATGTGCACAACCAATTAGATCTCCAGTGGCCAGTCAGAAGCCCGGCTGGGCAAAAGCCCCGCCTCCTTTCTGAAAACACTTGGTGGGTGCCAGGACACTCTGGGTAACACGCTAGGGATCCCTGCTCTAAGAGGCTTCCCCCCCTCTGCCTTGAACTTGTGCAGTGACCGGAGTTCGTCTGTGCCATTCTGCAGGGAAGCAGCTCCCGGTGTTTCTCCTTTCTCTGGTCCTCCTGGGCTAAAGGGACTCTCACAAGGAAGAGATCTTAATGGGGAGGGGGGGGGGTTGCCCAGGTATGGCCTATTTATGTAAGGAGTCCCAGGTGCAAGGACTTGTCCTCCATGACAGGAAGGGACAGGGATCACTTCCTGTTTCCCTGTGGAGTTAGAATGCGTGGATTGGAACCACTTTGGGGTGGGAGGAGAGATGCTTTTTCTCTGGAAGGGCCCTAGGGAAAACACACAGCATCACCTGTAGTTGTATCCCGAGTCTAGCCACCAGGGGTCATTTCCTGTGGGAGCGCACAGGAGCAGAGCTCCGGCAGTAAGGAGCCCAAGGGGCAGGCACATGCAAGCCCCGCCCCCTGCTCCCAGCAGCCCTCAATCGGGCCATGAGGAGCAAGAAGCAGCCAGGTAAGTTGCAGAGCACCCCCCCCCCAGGCCCGCCTTTAGGTACAAGCTCTCCCTCCTCTGTGAGGGCAGATCTGCGCATTCCCCCCCCCATAGCTAGCAATCCAAAACAGTCCAGTGGCACCTTTAAGACCAAGTTTTATTCAAGTACAAGCTCTCCCTCCTCTGCGAGGACAGATCTGCACGTCCCCCCCCCATAGCTAGCAATCCAAAATGGTCCAGTGGAGCCTGAGTGGTGGGTGTTGCCTTCTGACGCACTTCCGGTGATGTCAGTGGGTGTGGCATATGCAAATGAGTTATGCTAATACGTTATGCTAATGAGCTCCAGCACCTCTTTTTCTATGAAATGACCCCTGCTAGCCACTATACCGTGCATGCTTGCTTGCTTGCTTGCTTGCTTGAGCTTCTCTAAATGGTTAGCTGAGAGTTCAGCAAAGCACTGTGCAGATTTCCTCAACAAAGGATTGGTGGGGGCCATTCAACCGCAAACCAGCCTAGATACCCGCCCAGGCGTAGGGTTGGATGCAGTTACCTGACATTTACAGCCACATCAAAAACCCTGTGGGCTTTGGGTCCCTCGCAAACCTCAGGAACCGTGTGCACCTCCAGTGTGAAAGGTTCGCCCTCGTGGCGGGGATGCACGTTGTATTTCAAGGTGGTCTGGAAAGGAAACGGCACTGTGATGTCTGTTTCTCCAAGGCAAAAGTCTGCACCCTTAAAACGAATCAGCCTTTGCAACCTGCGCCGAGTTGTGAGCCGAGAACTCTGTGCTGTGAGCCGACAACTCTGCACGGTGAGGGTGCTGGTGAGGCTGAGGTCCACATTCTGCCTAGGCTGGACAACCAAGGCTCCTCTCTGTGTTACAAGACTCTTCGTCCTGCTCACACAGGTGAAGGCACAGTCTCTGGATCCACAGCCTTTCTCACCTCCCCCCCCCTGCATTTCTCCAGCCTCCTCCTGCTCTTGGGCTGACTGGGGCACTAACACGGCTCTAGAGCAGCTCCGGATCCAGACCCGTAGACAGGATTTTGTAGCTTGTGGGGCAGATTTCTTTTCTGGTGGGGCTGAAGTTCTCAGTGCAGAAAGAGAAGCCATTTAGCCAATAGGAAGCTGTTAACTGGGACAGATCTCTAAACTGCAAGCTGTCAACCACTTTAGATGACAGTTCCCAGCTGCTGCAAGTTAGTCACTTCTGCCAGCCTAAGCAACAATTCCGATAAAAAGCTGGCGGGTGGGGGTGATGACTTCTACAGTCAATAAAGTTAACACGTAGACAGAAAAAACTCTCTTAAGGGACACTGAGTTAGAAGGGATCCTAGAGGTCACCTACTCCAACCCCCTTGCTCAGAGCGGGAATTAGTCAACTACAAGACCACAGTCCACTTAAAGGAGTGCACGCCTTTTAAAAGTATTGTAAAATCATTTTTAAAAACATTTACAGGAGAAATTTTTGTGGGGCTGTGCCTTTAAGAAAGGAGGCAGAGCCCCCCCCAAGTCCTGCCATAGTTACGAGCCTGACCAGACCCGCTGGCTCTGCTTGCTCCTGGCCACAAGTGGGCCTGCAGGACCCAGGAGGAACTTCCCCAGTACGATAAAGGAGCAGCTGGCCCCCGACCTCCCTTTCTTTCCTTGTCCCTGCTCTTTGTTCCGTCTCTTCTCGCTTTGTGTTCCTCCATCTCTTCATCCCACGATCTCCACAGGGAACTCCCCGCCCCCCCGCACTTTCCCAAGCACCCCTGCAATACTCACCTGCACATGGACACACCCTTCCCCAGCCACTTCTCTGCTGTATTCTCCTGGCACTCCGGCCACAGGTCCGCACTGGAGCACCAGGCGGTTGGTGCTGTCCACCTGGAACTGGTGCTGGACATCGTTCCCGGAGAGCAGCTTCACTTCTGCGTGTGCTCCGCTCTTGGTGTAGGTGGAACTCCCGTACAGGGACAGGGCCTGCAGAGCAACCACCGTGTCCTGCAACGGGAATCCAGGACAGTGAGGCTGTCGCAGGGATAAGAGCCAATCTGGAATCATGGCAGGAGTGCTGGACTAGTGTCCGGGAGGCGCTGGTTCAAACCTCCACTCTGCTTGCTCACTGGTGACCTCAGGACAGTCACCCCCTCTACCTCTCAGCCTACCCTGTTAGCGGTCAGGCCCCCTCCTCCCACAGAGGGGCAGCTTATAGCTTATAGAGGCAGAAACACCTCTCTCTCTACCTCTCAGCCTACCCTGTTAGTGGTCAGGCCCCCTCCTCCCATAGAGGGGCAGCTTATAGAGGCAGAACCACCTCTCCCTACATCACCCCAATGTCTTAGTGCAGGGCACTGCTTGGGCCAGAACGGACCAAGATGGATGCCAGCCAGTTTCACAACGCAAGTCAGAGCAGCTGGCTGGCTACACCCCCTCCTTGCCCTGGAGAGATGTAAGATATTTAGAACAACAGGTTGCCAGGGACCTACTGATTCACTCAGCATACTTCCCATCAACACCCCAGCCTCACTTCCCCTTCACCCATTACCTCCTGATTAAGCTGCAATTAATCAACGCTTAAGTCTATTCCTAGTTACCCGTCCTGTCTGGTACTTCTGGAGTCATCAAGCCTCTCACACCTTTTTCGTCTACCTCCGATAAAGCCATTATGACATTGTTTTCTGGCAAGCGTGTCAGCCTGCCTCAGGGTACGTTTTGCCCTATAAATATGTCACCCAGCTGACTCAGCTGTTTGTGTGTGTTTTGCAACCTCATGCACCCCCACTTTGTGGGCTTCTTTTTCTCTCTTTCACAGAAAAAAATGCTGGCTGTTTTCTCTTTAGATCTGCTGCTTCCATGGACCTCTCCAAGACGGTTAAATATCACCCATCTCTCAACAGCTATCCCCTTTCCTCCCTGATTTCCTTAGTTAGCTCTTGTAAGTGTCTTGTGTATGTTTATTGTGTGCATTTTTGTTTTATTCTTTCTCTTTTTAATAAAAACCTTTCCAGTTGAATATCTGCAGTTTATTTGAGAGTTCTCTTAAAGGGAAAAATCCTGGTATCCATAGGTGGAGAATCTCAGTTACCTGCCTCTTGCTCCGTCTCCTCTTGCTAATTCCCTCAGCTTAAGTGGAGACTGCCTCTTTGGGTAGCAATCCTACCTCACAGGGTTGTTTTTGTGAGGATAAAATGGAGGAGGTGAGAACAGTGTTCTAGTCATCTTCGGATCCCCATTGGGGAGGAATCCGGATATGGACGAGACTTGGATTTCAATCACTCACTCCATTTACCCCTCTGTTTGCCCTTATGCTCAGACCTGTCTCACTGAAAAGAGCATCTGTATAAATCTCCTTTGCCCTGTGTCTGTATTGATCGTACCAAGGAAAAACTGAACTGAAACTTATTACCAAAAAGCACACCAACGCAAGGCAAAAACAAGAGACTCATCTACAGGGCAGCAGAACTGTCAAAGCATCATTTCTAATAAAAAATAGCTATGGGATGAACGGAGTCCCCATACACATCCCGGGCCCCTGGTCCAACAGGCTCTGCCATAGGGGGCAACTGCATCCCACTTCCCCCCATTTCCCCATCAGCAGCTTCACTCCAGACAAATAAATAGGTCGAAGGAGTCCATCGACTTGCATGGAGCCCAGTAAAAGTCCTGTCATTTTGAGAACGAGGGGAGACACAATTCCTCTTGTTCCCCAGGTCCTCTTGCCACGAGACCCCTTCCCTCCCATTTTCCCAGTTTCAGTCCCTTTCCATTTCAGTGAGACACAGGGAAGGAAATGCAATTGGGAAAATACTCTAGAAGAAGACACAGTTCTCCAACCGACACCCTGCATCCATCAAGGAGGGGAAGGACCAAGAACTTCCCCTGGAGGCAGGAACAACACAGCTTGTGCAGTTCCTGAAGCAGAGCTAAAAGTCACCCATGAAAAATATAAACAGGAAATGAAGATAAATCTGGGACAAAGGATCAAAATAATATTCATGATTTGTAAGCCCCCTTTGTTTCGATGGTAATTTGTTTGCCACCTGCAAGCAGCACCTCGAAAACTTGGAGGAAAAACTAAACAAAACCCCCCTTGCCAGCCTCTTGGGGGGGAAGCGCTTACCTGGGTGGAAGAGAACCCACCGGTGGGATTCTGCTGCTTGCTGAGCCATCTGACAATGTTGGATGCCTTCGTCAAAGTCTCCTGGGACGGCGCTGGGTGTTCGGTGAGGTAAGCCAGGAGTGCGTAAGCAGTCATCTCCACCTCTGCAGAGGCAGCTCGGGGCTGGTAGAAGAGCCAGCTGACCTCCTCCTGTTGCTTCCCAGGCCTCTGCCAGTGAATGGAGCCGTCCTCTTCAGAGAGAGAAGGAGGAGTTATTGGCACTCGGGCAGAGAATCCAGGTACTACTACTACCACAGGCACTTTGGCACGTGAGGCTTAAAGAGGATCTTTCTCAAAAGTGCTGCATTGGCTGGAGTTCGTGTGCAAATGCTTCACCTTTTTTACTTTCCCTTCTGTATTATCAGCAATCGCAGATGTTCCTTAAATCTAGGAATTAAGGAATTCTTCACCCCACCCCCACCCCACTGGTTTCTCTTCTCTTTTTTAAAATTTACTATGGCATCATTTATTTTTCTGTATTTGTCAGCTGTGGGTGTTTGTTTCTTTCTTATTTGGGGGTTTTGTTAATGGAAAGTAATCTGATGAACATATTAATGTTATATTCTAAAGGTTTATAATAGAACTAAAAAATCCCCAGATATTAATGTAAGAGAGTGGAAGAGAGGCCCATGGCCGATTTACAAGTAACGATACTCCCAGCACTTCAGAGGATTCCACGTCTTTCGGATAGTTTGTCTTGTAATTTTTACAAAAGGCCCACAAGGTTGCCAGTTAGGGCTGCCAGCTCTGGGTTGGGAAATACCTGGAGATGTGGGGGGTGGAGCCTCCGGAGGGCGGGGTTTCGGGAGAGGAGGAGCCTCGTCAGGGTAGAATGCCGTCGAGTCCACCCTCCAAAGCAGCCATTTTCCCCGTGGGAACTGATATGTGTCATCTGGAGATCCATTATAATAGTGGGAGGTCTCCAGGTGCCACCTGTAGGTTGGCAACCCTATTGCCTGTCTCCAGGTGGTGTCTGGAGATCTTCCAGAATTACAACTGATCTCCAGACTACAGGGATCAGTTCCTCCGGGGAAAATGGTAGCTTCAAAGGGCGGACCCTATGGCGTTATACCCCGTCGAGGTCTCTACCCTCCCCAACACCTACCCTCCTCAGGTTCCACCCCCCCCCAACCTGGAATTGGCACTCCTACCCATAATGAAAGTCTGATTTCTTTACCAACAGATTACAGAAGCGGGTTGGAGTGGAGAACGGGCTGCTCAGAGCCACCGGCACAGTGTGCGGCCAAAGTGACATTCGAGCGAGAGACTTCCCGGATGCAGACGAAGGGCTCCTTCGCTTGCCGGAGGCCTAAGAGTCGGCCAGCCGTTTGGACAAGGGCAGAAGCTGGACTACGTGGAGAGACGGGGTTTCATTTCATACCTCTGCATTCTGTAGCATGTTGCTTTGGGGGTTTGCCAAGCAGAAAAGAAGCTTCACGCATTTTATTATGAAAAGGGATGTGTGTGACCAGGAGAACTCCTGCTCTGCTCCCTCAGTGGCCCGGGGGGGGGGGTGCTGGTCGCAGCCACCTCCCACAGCATGGGGGGGTGAGAAGGCAGGCCTGCCTCGCAAGGCTACTGCAAAGGCTCCTCAGACAATGGATGTGAGGTGCTCTAAATAGTTACTATAAGGTAATCATTAATAATTATTGGATGGCAGTGTGTGTAGTATTGCCAGGAGAGCCTAAGATCGTCTGGCAGCCAGAAGTTCTAGCTCTTTTGGCATTATGCACCGCCAGGTGGTGAGCTAGACTTGTTTTTAAGGCAAGACACGTTTCAGAGGTGCTTTGCCGTTGCCTGCCTCTGCATCATGACCCTGGTATTCCTTGGAGGTCGCCCTTCCAAATACTAGCCAGGGCTGATGAGATGGGGCTAGCCTGGGCTATCCAGGTCAGGGCCCTCTATGAGGCAAAAAAAGAAAGACATGCCTACGAGAGCCAGCCGAGAGAAGGAATCTCTCTCTCTCTGTGACAAGATCTCTCTCCTTGTCTCAAAGGAGGCCTGGAAGGACCCACTTATGCACTTGTGTGCTACCAGTTCAAGTACAAAGTGTGTGTTTGTGCAAGTTGTAGCAAACCTGCTCCCCCCAATTCTAGGTCACTGCACTGAACAGCTGGCTGCCTGGAGACAGGTTTCTCTTCCAGACCTGTCTGCAACTGAGACGTTTAATTGCCTCTAGAGCAAGGAGACTTTCTCCAACCCACCTGACATTTGAGAAGGAAGGTGTAAGACACACTGTGGCTAAAAAGTAATCCCACTTGGATGAAGCAGGAGAAGCTACTGACGGAAATCCCCAACCAAGTAGAACCATGACCGAACTGTGGTGCATATCCAGGGCTGCTACAACCCCCGAAAGATAGAGGATCACCAGTTCAACTTTTTTGTCCATCAAGTTTTAACAATGAGAATCTGGCCAATGAGTGGCGTGAAACTGTAGAAAATCCTCCGATTCCCATCAGGCGGCGTGAGACTGCAGAGGCGCCGATGGTCCACACGTGAACAGTCTGCCTGCCTTTGCCACGGAGTCAGGCCACAGTAATGGACACAGGGAGAGAGCGGGTGACTGTAAGTCACCCAGTGTGGAGAGTTGATTTTTATTCTGCATTTAAGGAATGTGTCAAGCAGCAGATGTGGCAGGTGGGGGAAAGCAGTCCTCTGTGATTGTAGAGGTTCTCTGTCTGTCTCTCTGTCTGTCTCTCTGTCTCTCTCTCGGCATGACTAAACACATGCACGGGGGAACAGTTCATCAAACGTTTGATCTTGTGACAAGCAGACAGGTGGCAAACTGATCCAGTGGGTGATACAGCCTCTCTAAGTACACGACCCTTCATGGGATTTTCATGGCAAGAGACATTCAGAGGTGGGTCAAGATGGGTGGCCGTGTTAGTCTGTCTATAGCAGGAGAAAAGAGCAAGAATCCAGGAGCACCTTAAAGACTAACAACATCTATGGCAGAAGATGAGCTTTCCTGAGTCACTGCTCACTTCCTCAGATACAGCTAGAAGGTGAAATCCATCTGTCCTTATACCTCGGAGAGCGGAATGATTTCAGATGTCGAATGACAACAGCAGGCAAATGACAATAGCTGGCTTGATTGGGTTGGGTGTGAGGTGCAGAGGGGTAGCAGGCGTGACGTAAGTTCAGAGGCGGTTTGCCGTTGCCCGCCTCCGCGTAGCAACCCTGGACTTCCTTGGTGGTCTCCCAGGCCTGGCCCTGCTTAGCTCTGAGATCTGTCAAAATCAGGCTAGCCCGGGGCCGTCCAGGCCAGGGCAGAGGTTAATTAGCTCCACCCAACCGCGATACCTTTTTAGCCACTGTGCCTTAGACCTTCCTTCTCAGATACAGCAGGGGGGGAGTTGGAAGTGCTGAGCAGCTGCATGAGAAGGACTGGAAGGGCCGACAGACCCATCGCCTCCTTGGTCAGGAAACAGAGAGCGGGGAGGGGGGGTGGATGAGCGAGTCCCTCTTGAAAGGCTCTGTCCTATATGGAACTTCTCTCGTCACCTCCTTGTACGGCGGCCTCCTCGAGGAAGGTCAGCATCTCTCGCCTCTTCTCCTCCTTCCCTGCCAAGGCAAAGGCGTAAGCCAGCAGAGCCCGGGAGTAGACGTGGATGTCTTTTGCCTGTGCTGCCGTCTCCAGGCAGAAGAGGGCGTTACGCACCACCATGTGCTGGAAAGAGAGAGAAGGACAAAGGTGTTCCTCTGAAGCCATCAGCTTCGTCTCTGAAGGCTTGGTGAGACCACCGTGCTTGGCTTGAAGGCACCTGCGTACCCGCTGCCAAAACCACCTGGCACCAATGTGTGCTAGAGGCTGTGCAGAACCAACCAATGAAAAGACGCAGGGAAGGGCTCAGGGAAATGGCTAGGCCTGGGAGGTCACCCCCGAGGAGGCTTTCCTGAGGCCGGGCAGAGTGGCCGGGGAGTGCATGCACGACTCTAGGAAAGAATCATTATTTCAGAAAGGTTTTTAATTGTTTTTAATTCTTTGCGTAGTGTTTATTGTATCTGATGGAACCAGCCCTGAGCCTGCTATGCGGGGAGAGAGGGCGACAAATCCAATCCAATAAAAATAAAATAAGATTTTCAAGCCGGCGAGAAAGATTTAAAATGAAATTGCAACAAAACAAACATAATTTAAAGAGCATTTTTAAATGTCTCATAGTCACAATAATGTTCTCATTTATTTTTAAATTAAGGAACGGGATTTGTGCCTTGTCTAATTCTTTATAATATGCAAACATTATTTCTTCAATACATTGTTTATAAGAACTGTTGCTTCTAGAATGTAGAACAGAGGTGGACAGAAATGCGGGCTCTTCTGAGAGACAGTCATTCTGAAACGGAAGGGTAACAGTGCACGTGCCCACGGCCCCCCCCCTCAATAGCGCCCCCTCCCGGTGGGCTGAGGAAGGGAGAAGAGTCCTTACCGAGACAGGCAGGGAAATCTCCAGCAGGGCGATTGTGATGTAAGCAGACAGAGTGACCTCATCGTCCACCCCGCCCTGTAGGAGACAAGACAGGGAACCGCTGTCAGTTCAAAGATCATGGCCCTGGAACTGCTCCCCAAGATGACCCGTTCCAGGTGGGAACGACGAACAGAGAGGCGCAGCCGGGAGAAGCACACAGGCCCTGCCCTCCTGTCTACGCACAACTGCCGGACGTGATTCGAGCACCGGTATGCTCCGTCCCCACTGGGCCTCCCATTTGCCCACCTGGGCAGGGATTTACCTGCCCCAGCCCCCATTTCCTGCTCGTGAGGAATTAAGGAGCGGGAGAAGAAAATGGCCTCCACATAGTGATACTCTATGGTAGACCAAAGAGACTAAGGGAGGCAGCCTAGAGCATCACTCAGACGTGACACCACTTCCTCCCCAAACTCTGCCCTCTGCAGGCACCCCCCCCCCCTCCAAATCTCCTGGTGTTTGTGGAGCGAGTGTCAAGAACTCTAATCCCCTTGCTCATGTTGCCAACCAGGATATTTCCCGGCATGGTGAGGAGAGAGCCAGACTCAATACCATCTTTTAAACATCCTTTCAGGAGACAATAGAAAGGTGACGGAAGCGGCAGTGAAATACATCTCAGCCCCTTTGAGCCAAAGGACTGTCGTCCCTAGGTTAGATTTTAATTTCAATCTCAATTTTAAATATACAGAAAGTTTCAAATATTATCTGTTTTTCTGAACGTTTAAACTCTTCTTTATATTAGCGTATTTTGTATGTTAACGCCATTTTATAGCTAGATTCGAGACCAGTAGCACTTTAGGGACCAGCAAGATTTTCAGGTATACGTTTTCGAGAGTCAACGTGTTAGCAGCAGTCAGACCCCTCCTCTCGCAGAGGGGCGGTTTATAGCACAAACGCCTCTCCATACATCACCCCAATATCTCAGCGCAGGGCACTGCTTGGGCCAAAATGGACCAATAAGGATGCCAGGCAGGTATCAGCCTGGGAAAACAGTTTCAAATGCAAGTCAGAGCTGGCTGCTGCCCCCTCCTTGCCCTGGAGAGACACATGACTTTAGAACAATGGGTTCACAAGGACCTATCGATTCACTCAGCATAATTCCCATCAACATCCCAGCCTTACTTCCCCTCACCCATTACCCCTTGATTAGGTGGCAATTAATCAGTGCTTAAATCTTTCCACTTTCCCTATTGCCCTCCCCATTTGGTGCTTTTAGAGCCATCAAGCCTCTCACACCTTTTGTCTACCTTATGTAAAGCCATTAAGTCATTGTTTCCTGCTGCCTACATCATCCTTGCCTACGGGTATGTTTTGTCCTATAACGGGACCACCCTGCTGCCCCAGCAGTGTGTGTGCGTGTGTGTGTGTTCCTGGTACTAACTGCATACACCTTCATTTTGTGGACTCTCCTCTCTCTCACCTCCTGAAATACTGGCTGTTCTGCTCTTCAATTTGCTGCATCCATGGACCTCTTCAAGATCAGTAATTATCACCCTTCCCTGGAAATCTCTCTCCCAGACCTCCCAGGACCAGCTCCCTATGAGCCCCTGCCAGAGGGTGCTGCTCCCAAGACTCCCCGTAACCCAGACTAGGGGAACTCAGTCCCTCGCCACCCCATTGCAACGAAGGCTGACTCTGCGTTGGCTTTTCCATCCATTGTTTTCACAAACCCACGTTGGAACAGATATTCCCCCTCTGCATTGCATGCTGCTTTCACTTCCTTTGATTATCAGGTCTTATGGTAGCCTCCACACTCCATGCCACTTTCGCTTCCTTCGATCACTGGATTTTATGGTACCTTTTACAAAGATTTATGGCCGTTTTATGGCCATTCAGGGGTGACTTTGCAGTCAGTACGGCCGGGGTATCTGAATGTGCTTTGAGCTGCACTTTTCCCTCCCAGTTGAGAAAATGTGGACCGAATGCTATATGCAGAATCTCCCTCTAACAGTAGAGAAGCGAGCTGCTAATGGACACGTAGAGTGCCAAGAAATCCAGGGAAGGATTCCCTGGACTGCCACCGAAGCAAAAGCCATAATGGTCGAATATGCATTTGCATTTTTAAATCAGTTTTGTGCTGCTGTGACGCTGTCTTTCTCTATGCTTGTTTGAATGTTGTTTGGAGAAGATTCTTTTAAAGCAGTGCAGAGGGGCAAGGACAGTGGAGCCGCCACGAAAGGGCAATAAACATATGCAGACCATAGAGTTTTGGCCAAAATGCTAGAGGTTACCATAGAGTTTTGGCTAAAATGCTAGAGTGTCGTTGTGTGACATGCCCGGCATGATGATGTCACTTCTGCGTGATGTCATCGCACTGACAATGTTGACGTGGGAGGAGGCTGTTCGGGGGTGAGGCTTCACCTTCCAGTCATTTGGCTGGTGGTGGATTGGAGCCCCTGAAATCGGGGGAAACCCCGCCCCGACCGGGGGGATCTGGCAACTCTAGTTGTACAGCAGATTAACATGGCTGCCCTCTGAACCAGCCCATCCTAAAGGACTTTTCTTTAAAATTCTGAGATTGTACATAACCGTCTACCTTGATGGCATTGTTCAGGAGGTGCCCAGAGCTCTGGAAGCAGCCGTTCTCCTTCTGCCGGATGGCCAGGGAGCCTTGAGCATCCAGGATGTGCTTGTCTTCTATAAAGATGTAGCGACGGGCCTGCCCAAAGGACTTGAGCACAAATGCTGTCAGCCTGCAAGAAGAAGAGAGCATCATCCCTCCCTGCCTCGCTCTCTCTTGCCTGCCAAGATGGATCTACTCAGCAAGAAGAAGAAGAGAAGAAGAGAATGGATTTATACCCCGCCCTTCACTCGGAGTCTCAGAGCGGCTTTGCAACTCCTTTCCCTTCCCCTCCCCACAACAGACACCCTGTGAGCAGTGTTCCCTCTAAGCTGAGTTAGTGTAAGCTAGCTCACAGTTTTTTAGCCTCTGGCTCACAGATTTTTGCCTTAGCTCAGGAAGGAGGGCTCCAGAGCAAACTAATTTATGCAGTAGCCAAATCGCTCTGTCACAACTTTAATGCCAGTAGCTCACAAAGTAGAATTTTTGCTCACAAGACTCCACAGCTTAGAGGGCGCATTGCCTGTGAGGTAGGTGGGGCTGAGAGAGCTCCTTCAAGGTCAGCTCTGACAGAACAGGCCTCCACACATACAGAAAAATAAACACGGCTTCATAAATTGACCCCTCGTCCATCAAGATACTTTTTGTTTTTCCCTGTGATTCACAGTGTAGCACACTGGTCAACGTTTTGGACTTGGGGCTTGCCAAGCAGAAACCAGAAGTGATGTCATGATGTCAAGAGGTGAAGCAATGCTCTAGGATTTGCAAAAAAACCTCTATGGTTCTGACAGGATAAAATCGGGAAGATAGAACCAGGCAGGCTGCCCTGAGCTTCCTGCAAGAAGGGTGGGACAAAACGTGGTAGACAGATAGATAGACATTTATGTTTCCCTTCTCCAAATTAGGCTTGCCAACCTCCAGGTGGGCCCTGGAACTCTCCCGGCATCACAACTGATTTCGAGACTATGGAGACCAGTCCCCCTGGAGGAAACCCACCGCTTCAGAGGGTGGCCTCTATGGCACCCCACCCCCGCTGGGGTCCCTCCCCTCCCCAAGCCCCATCTCCTCCAGGGCCCCGCCCCAAATCTCCAGGAATCTCCCCAGCCAGATTGGTCAGCCTCAGCAAAATGCCCATCATTGACACATGCCCAGAGTAGGCGGGGGGACGACGACATTTTTACTGCAGGACCCCCTGGATGGTGCAGGGCATCTTGGTGCATCCAGAACGCCTCTGTGGGGATCCATGAGAGAATCCGCTGGGCTATCTGGGGCCACGGCAGCTGGCCCCGTTCTGCCTCCCAGGGCGGCGCGTTTCTTTCCCCATAGGCGTCTATGACAGACAGGCACTTCTGCAAGAGGATTAATTGGGAGCCCCATCCAGATGAAGGCCTCAACCTCCTCCTTACTCTTTGAGTCTCCAGGAACTGAAAACCTTCTCTGCTGCTACCTTCACAACCGGTGGGAGGGTTGTGGGCAGGCACAGCATCATAGGAGGTTGGGTTTTTTTTAAGCAGCCTTTTGTACTTGCTGGAAGCTGATACAGGAAATGATAAAGGAAGCTCTAGGAATCACTGGAAACTCTATGGTAAAACCATAGTGTTTCTGGTTATTCCTAGAGCAACCCTTGTCACTTCCTGTATCAACTTCCAGTAAGTATACAAGGCTGATTCCTCCCCCCCATATTTTATTTCTCTCTCCGCTGCTCGGAGTGGTGGCAGGCAATGGGTCCTGCGTGCGGAGGATTCCCCTGCCCTGTTCAGAGCTCTGATTCCCCATCTAAATCCCCAGCTTGGATTGTCCGTCACTCTACAGCGTGATGAAATGTTGGCTGCTGTGAGTCTGAGCTAGGTGGTCCCCTGTGACACAATCATGGTTGTGTATGTAACACTCAGTGCTACAAAGAAAAAAAACCATAAACATTTAGTAGCAAGTCAACTGAAATTCTGCACTTCCTATAAATCATGCATAAATTTAACTCTTTGCATAGTGTGTTCTCCACTGTCTTCTATTTCACAGAACGGATTGGGGCTTCTGTGCTTGGGGGAGGGACAAGGAGCTGTCCAATGACACTAAAGAAAAGCAGGTTGCTTACCAGTAACTGGTGATCTTCGAGTGGTCATCTGTGCATTCACACCAATGGGATCTAGTGTGCACGCGCTGGATCGATTGGTGCTGTAGCAAGCTCTTTTAACGGATTTTCATGCCCAGTCCCTCAGGCATGCGCAGGAACCCCACTGCGCATGCCCAGACGGGTGGGCGCGGACATCCCGCCAGTTCCTACAAACCACCGCAAATCAACCCCTAATAAAAATGTAGAAGCTGACAGCAGTGGGGAAGGAGGGCGGGTGGTGTGAATGCACAGATAACCACTTGAAGATCACCAGTTACTGGTAAGCAACCTACTTATCTTCGACGTGGTCTCTGTGCTTCACACCAATGGGAGATTAGCGAGCAGTAGCCTACCTGGAGGAGGGTGCTGGCAGGACTATTACTGCGTAGCCGAAGACAGAATGCGACGTCCCATGTTGGTATTAGAGTTCTTTCGGACGTCTAGGGTGTAGTGCCTGATGAAGGTGTTAGGCGTAACCCAGGTAGCGGCTTTAGAAGAAGAAGAAGAAGAAGAAGAAGAAGAGATTGGATTTATATCCCGCCCTTCACTTGGAGTCTCAGAGCGGTTTACAAACTCCTTTCCCTTCCCCTCCCCACAACAGACACCCTGTG